GGGCGCGCACCGTGGCCCCTCCGCGCCGCCCGCCCGGGCTCCAAACAATGGGGCTCGGTTGTCCTCGGTGCTTGGGCAGTACGTTAGGTGTTTGTGGACCAGGACACACGACGTAGGGTGGCGCCGGAGCGGGGCAGGAACCTAGGTGTCAGTGAGCCTTTCCATGCGGCTGAGGCCAGGCCGGGAGGGGACAGAAAAACGGCCTCCGTTCTGACCCTCGTGCTGGCCTCCATCCGCCCCCGGCCGCCCCCTCTATTTAGAATCTGGCTGCTCCCCCTCTCCCGTCACAGGTTGATGTTAAGGGAATCTGGTGGTGAAAGCTGCTTTTTCCCCCAAGAAGAAATTTGCCAAAAGATTTATCACAGGAATCCTTTAAATACGCATCTAGCGCATTAAGATATTGTTTAGAAAAATTCAGTTTATGCATCCTTTTTTTCCAGGAGCGTATCTGTTCTGAAAACTGAGACTTTATTAAATCTAGAAAAGCAGCCTTAACACTTCTTAATCAGTTAGGTATTGTCTTCTCGCTCTGTAGCCGGCATCAAAGTTATTTCCAGTCCTCTCTGAAAAGACTCTTTAAGCTTCTTACAGAACGACTTAAATTCCAAGCTAACCTTTTTATTTATTAATAAACATTAATAGACACCAGCAGTGCTGCGTTCGAGTTAGGTTAATCTATGCCTGTTATGTTTACAGTCTGGACCTGGATGTCCCGTATATGTGGAGGAGGGAGGGTCGACATGAACGCGCCACGTTAACCACGTTAACCCCGGCGTGTTCTCGCTCCTGCCGGCGCTTTCCCCGCCTACCGCAGCCTCTCGCCCGCCCCATGTGGCAGATGCTTCCCTAACTCTCCACCCCGCAGGTGTGAAATAGGACAGCCCCTCCCAGCTGAAGTCCAAGTCCTGAGGAGAACCTCAGGACTGCTGTTGTCACCCTCTCTGGTTGACATGCTCTGGAGTCTTGCTGTGGCAGCTTGGGAGTCAGCATGCCATTCCCCAAAGTCATTTTCCAGATCCCTCCTGGTGTGACTCAGTTAAGCCACAACCTTATAATTATGCCTTCGGCCAGTGCTCTCCCAAGCCTTGACTTCAGAGCACCGGGAAGATAAACAGCCATGTTAGGTCTGTCTGATATTTAGCTGAGATGAAGAGCAGATAGGGCTGCAGGCCTTGACGGGTCCCTTTTAGAAAATGTCACGAGGTCTTTGAAAGTATTCTGGTCTTTTGGCTTTTAGGAGATTTGCTAAGCTGGGGCTCTGGGGTCTGAGTGTGGGCACCTCAAGCTCTGAGGCTCCCGCCTTGGGGACCTGGTGACATAAGAGCTGGGAGTCCTTCCCGAATTATCTGTGGGAATTATCTTGTGTTGAGCCCTTTAATTCGAAGGCCTGAGGTCAAATCTGTGACAAGGGAGGTAAGTGGAATTCGCAGTGGAATGCGATTAACCGGGCATCCAGCAGCAGGTCCGGAGGCCAGCGAAGGCTGCGGACTCTAACGCAGGCGCGTGCTCCCTCTGACAGGCGGGTTCTACCCGGAGGGGCCCAGCGTAGGAGCTGGAGAGCCGCCTGGGGCTGGGCTCGCCAGGTGACCCCGGGTGCGGTGTGCTCCTCGGTAGAGCTTCAGCAGGGTGCGGCCCCGTGACTGTCGACCAGGGACCTCGTGGGGAACATGTCTCTGAAGCAGAATCTGCGAGGCCGCTAATTAAAGGCTAGGTCGGGGAGAGTCGTGAATCAGAGGCCACTTCAGCCTTTTCTGGATCCCCATCCCGTCTCCCACGAGCTTGGGCAGCGCCCAGACCCTTCTGCCCCCGCTCTCGTCTCCAAAGGGCACTTTCTCGTCTGGCCTCGTCTGCTCCATTCGCGCTGAGAAAATCGAGCTCGCGGCAGGTTCTCCCCAAACGGTTCGGTTTCTTTCCCACGCTTTCTCGGTTTCTGCGGGCGAAAGTTTCTAAACACCGGCCGGGGCTCTCCCTTGTAATCGCCTCCATTCCAAGGGTCCACCAGCGCCTCCCAGGGCAGACGCGGGTCCAGCTACGTCTGCCCCTGGGATGCCCCCGTAGGAAGACAGGGCTTGTGGCGCGGTCCCACTGCTCACTCGATGAACGCCTGGGAGTCAGCCACCTTTGAGGAGGCCCGCCCTCCTCTTCATCAGAAGGAACTCTGGGTGAGTCTCAGAGGCCGGGCGGCCCCGCCGAGGGCTCCTGGGGGAAGGTGCTCTGTGACTTATGGGAGCTTCGAGGCACTGAGTTCCTGCCTCACCCAGGCCTCCTTTCCGCCTCCATTCAGAGACGGATTAACCGCTCAGCTCCCCTTCCTGCTTCCAGTGGCCACCCCGTGCCAGGGCCGGACAGTCCAAGGCTCGGATCGTGTTGCTTTAGGAAGCCTTGCCCAGCAGGTGTGGTCCGACCGTGCGGCCTGCCGTTCGCAGCCCCCCTGGACTGATGCCACGGCCTCTGTCCAGCGTCCTGACTGCACCGCCTCCAGCCTCCAGGCCTCCCTGCCTCCCAGGGGAAGCGAGCACGTTTCTGCTGTGCCTTTTCCGAGTCCCACAAGGACTCTGCCGGGACTGCCACACGGATTTCTACCCCCGTCACAATGGGGCGTCTCCTGATGGACGTAAATGGCTTGGAGTCACGGCCCCTCAGGACCTGTGCTTTAGCAGATACGCAGCCAGGGATGTTCAATGATGCGTTCTTCGATTTTTTTTCTTTAATATCGCGAGGTGACTAGCATCGCACTAGGTGCTACAGCAGCCACAAAAAGTCTCGGCCTGGTCCCTGACTAAATACTTCCATAATGTTGACGTGATATAGAACCATTTAAAAATCACGTAACAGAGTCTATGATTAAATTCGCTAAAATAAAAGAAAGCTCTTCAGACTTTCAACGTGTTTCCCAGCTTCCTTCTATTCTTTCGACAACCTAAGTTACGAAACTTAAGAATTATTTTTAAAAAGCACAAAAGACTGTGACGTTCCAGAAAGCACACGACAAGTGGCAGGGGTTCGAGGTGGGTGACGACGTGGCCGGATCGGCAGAAGGAACGGGTGGAGATGGAGGTGCCTCCCGGGCCCACGGTGCACGTCCGGCTGTGAGGCCTGGAACACCGCGTTGGGTCCACCGAGGATCGTCAGACGTCGGGACGCCGGGACGCCCCCTGGTTCAGGCCCCCGACCTTGACCTAAGCGTCTGAGGAGAGGTGTGCGTTCACGGATAGAGCACTGGATGGGAGTCTGTATTTTCTGGCTTCCAAGAGCCTGTGAACAACAGAACGAAACCGAAGAGACGAGGGAAAGAAATAAAATACTGGTTTGGCTGCAAAGGAGACTGCTGGGCCTCATTCTGCTTGGAGGCAAGAATCTTGGTGTTT